TAACTATTATAACTATTTCCCTTGTTGCTTTGGCTTTTGCTTCCTGTATGGTATCTATCAGTTTATCAAATGTATCTATATTTCCCCTTTCTTCAATGATATCTTTGAATGATTGTATATATTTTTTCGTATCTAATTTACTAAATGTTTAATTGACTTTAGGCTCTTGATGATTCCTTTGAACATATAATATAATCTCTATCATTTCATGATCTGAAAGAGTGCTACTCTCTAATGATAATTGATAGTTCTTGATATTTGTTGTGGCCAGTACATGATCAATAATTGTTTGTGAATGAGGTGTTACTCTAGTTGCATGTTGTTTATCAATTTCATTCCAGATCTCGAAACCATTTAGTACCACACAATTTTTATAATCTATGGAAGAATCTGATTTTTCTAATAGATTGATATTAATGCACCTATAATTAGCGCATTGTCCTCTTTGCTGAGTAGATCATCCAATATGGTTAAGAATTCTTGAGTTTCCAATGATGGTGGTCTATATATTCCCATTATTTTCATCCTGCTCGACCTAATTTCTACTCCAACCATGTTATAAACACTATTTTCTCCAATACTGTTTGTTTCTCTGATTAAAATGTTTTGTTTACTATATATTGCAACACCACCTCCTCTTGAGTCCCTACATGCATGTACAGCTGTATAGCCATCGATACCAAATAGACCGTTGGCCCATAACACTAGGGGTGTCGATTATCTACGAAGGTATGCCCTTCAAGAGACATGAAGATTTTTTTGTTCTAAAATTTGTTCTATCCGTCATTCGGTTGCCCCCTTACGAGCAACCCTCAAAAGTCTTCGAAAGTCTTGTGCGAGCAAGGAATGACGGGGGCCTTACCTTTTAACGTGTGATCCCAAACACTTAAAGATTGAGTTGGATTATCGGGAAAAAGTGGTTAGTTGGATCGGTACCCGGTCGCCCATCTCCCTAATCAATCAACTTCCTGTTGAAAGTAATGTTGAAAATTGTATTATAGGAGAAGCTCTAAAATTCATTGGAATAGTCGCATCCCGCCAAATTAACCGGGCGCTAGCCGATTTGCATACGTCTAGGTCGGTCCCGAAGGGCGGCATACGGACCGCAAGTTACCATTAACCGACATTTCTCTCAGATTATTTACGATGGTATGCCCTTTGGTTGATTCCTTCATTTCGACCCATGAATCAATGCCATAACATTTGCATACAGTTTGGGTGGGCGAATTTAGACTTATTCGAAGGTCACTTTACATCATTGACCTGTATGTACAAGATTATCTACGAAGCTCCCAAATTTTGATCAAGGTTAGTTAAGCATAAACTATGCATGGAATAATGATTTGCATACGATTTGCTAGTTGCGGGGATTACATTTAGCCCAGTAAAATTAGCAAAAATGGCGGCAAAATTCGTTCAACACCCTGTAAGAGCTCAAGATATCGACAATCAAATTCTTTCTAACTTTAGAACTTACACAAAACTCGTCCCGATTTACCCGTTTCGAGTTATTCGAGGTCGAAGTTTCGAAAAATCAGTTTTTGGTTCAAAAACCACTAAGAAACTAATTATTATGTCTGTACGAAGCGTCTGAACTGCCATCCTAAAAAAACTTTTTTTTCACAAATATTTGCCTAATTTACTGTTGATCTCCTAATTCACAGTTGCAACTGTAAATTAGGAAGGAGAATCTTTTTTTTTTCAAAACATCTCCTAATTCACAGTTGCAACTGTAAATTAGGGGATGTGTAAAAAAAGTTTCCCCTTCCTAATTTACAGTTGCAACTCGTGAAAAAAAAGTTTTTTCAGGATGGCAGTTCAAAAGCGTCATAGAGTTGGCCTAAAAACTAAAAAAATATATTTTCAACTCAAAACTTGAAGAAATATGTATTTTTTTTAAATTTTGATCTTGATCTACAGGGTGACGTATTACATAAAGGAAACGAAATACAAGGAAAAAACCGCAAAAATGCGATATCTCAAGTTTTGTTCTTGTGATTCCTGGAAATATTCTCTCAAGGAAGCTATGAATCAATTTTCAGTTACACTTTTATTGACCGGGCGGCCCGAGCCTTCGAGTAACTGGCACACAGCTCCACTCTGTTACAGGTTGCGATTTTAATCCCTGTTTTCACCAAAAGGGAAAAAAAAGACCTTTTGACCTTCTGAAAAAGTCCCAAGATTTTCAAAAGGCCTTCTACCTTATGGCAAGTCAAGAAATAATCAGAAACCAGGCGGTGTACAAAGAAACATCAGAGACTATTCAGAAGTTTGTGTGTATGATGTACGGGTTGAAAGATTCAACAGATGTAAACGAGGGCAGATTGACTGTATTCACCGCGACATATACGCCGAAAAAAACCTCAGAAAAATTGATGAAGGGATTATTTCGCTACGACTCTTCACGGCTACCACCATGCCGAGCTGAATTGGAACAACAATTCAGGCGAACCATTTATATTGCTCAGGTATGGAGCGGGGCTCATCTACGAGTTCCAACAGATCTTGAGCCGCTATAATGGGGATGGGTTTTAGAAAATGGAAAATATGATTTCCGTTGGTACGATGGAGATGCTCTTCCTGCAGAAGTACAAGAGATAATCATTTCTGAAAATGGAATTGAAGGAGTATCAGGTATATTTCGTTTGACAAAAATGAAATGATACTCAATTAATAATTTATTTCTGAAATAACATTTCATTTCCACAGCTGAGAGCCCTGATGAGTCACCTGAAATATCAGAAAGTGAAACGGAAGATCTCAGTGGAGAAGATGAGGACTCCAATGATGATGAAGATGATGAATGATTTTCTAAATAATTATTGGTTATTTTTCTATTAAAAAATAATTTCATTGGATGGGTGGATGGATGGATGGATGGATGGATGGATGGATGGATGGATGGATGGATGGATGGATGGATGGATGGATGGATGGATGGATGGATGGATGGATGGATGGATGGATGGATGGATGGATGGATGGATGGATGGATGGATGGATGGATGGATGGATGGATGGATGGATGGATGGATGGATGGATGGATGGATGGATGGATGGATGGATGGATGGATGGATGGATGGATGGATGGATGGATGGATGGATGGATGGATGGATGGATGGATGGATGGATGGATGGATGGATGGATGGATGGATGGATGGATGGATGGATGGATGGATGGATGGATGGATGGATGGATGGATGGATGGATGGATGGATGGATGGATGGATGGATGGATGGATGGATGGATGGATGGATGGATGGATGGATGGATGGATGGATGGATGGATGGATGGATGGATGGATGGATGGATGGATGGATGGATGGATGGATGGATGGATGGATGGATGGATGGATGGATGGATGGATGGATGGATGGATGGATGGATGGATGGATGGATAGGGAGAATCTGAAAATGCAATGAAATACAGGGTAGGGTGTGCCATTTGAAATATCTAGTATAAGCTGCAACGCCGCATCGTTGAAATTATTTTTGACGTGTAGATCATGTCAATTTATACATACCATCAAAATTCCAGATTAATCTGTTGCTTGGTTTGCCAGGAAGTTTAATTAACACTCATCGTGAATAACCCTGTATAATATTGTTACGTTATTTGTGTGCAGAAGCGAACACCACCATTTATTTACGAACTGATTTATTTCACGAAAGGGAACGAACACTCATTTATAACAAACATATAACTACTATTTATGTCGAACCATTTATATCACGTGGTATATGGCTGTCTCTCTGACAATCACTGACCACCTGCTGTCCTGTCGTCCTTATATATCAGATGATTTGGCTGGCTATATGCTTGTCGAATGTTCCCGAAAATCATCGGTACCCTTCTTTTGTTCTCGAAGCTTCTCATAGAAAAGTATCTCTCTCTCTCTCTCTAATAGTTCCATCGATTGTTTTGAGATGTTTCTGTCGCTGCGACACATATTGGGTGTTCGAAAATATGCTGATTCATGTTAGAATTATTGAGATACTCGGGAACAATCTGATACGCGTGATACAGGAAGATCGTTATACGCCTTCTTGATGATGTTCGAGCCCCTCTCAGGGGAATATTACAATATCGTTCATGAAAATAACAAAAAACATGGGATCCAAAATTGATCCTTTTAGTGCTAGAGGTACGCAGAAAAAAACCGCATTTCGTATAGAAAGCAAGCAAATTTGCACACATGCTCAGTAGACCTAAATAAACGATTTGGCCCGCAGCACCTACTTTTTTGGGCTTGGGGGTCCGAATTTTGGGGAGAGGGGGGTTAATTCGACGATATATTTTTCAGAAATCGGAATAAAGCTACAGAGATGATCCAGATGTCGATTTCAAATGATATTGTCTTGATAAATTCAATAGTGAGATTCTTTGAGCTCTATGATCATCGGAAAAGCCTCAAAAACCGCCATTTTGGAAAATGGCGTCCGATATCGTGCCATATTAACATGATTGCATGATTCGTGGCGTGTGAGGTATGGTTTTTCATATATCAAGCATGCCTGAAGATGATTGAACGAACAAAATTATGTGGAGAGTATTTTAGTATAAAAATTTCGAAGAAAATTCAGAAAAAAGGTATGCGAATATGCTGAAAATTAGAATAAAGCCAAATTCTTCATGAAAGTGAGACGTTCTCTTATGGAGATTTCCTATTCGACATAGATGAAGCATCGCTCTATGACGAGCATAATGTAATTAAAAATCCGCCATTTTATAAAATGGACGCCAACACGGCCACCAATAATATTGAAAATTCGCTAAGTGACTTAATGAATGTGAAAAAATCCTGAGCGGTTATGATAAATTGAACATAACTGATGAGCACTTTTCGATGCTGTTAATTTTGGACTTTATTGTTTCAATACAAAAAACATTGATATCCAGGGTGGATGTTCAGGTCATATCTAGAAAAAAGAACATTTTAGTTTAGGTATAACTATTTTTGATGAACATACAAACCTTGATCAATGTTTCAACTAATTTACTCCTCCATCAACCTCCTCCTCTTCATTTTGGTGTGAGTGGGGTTCGAGTTGCGTTTGGGTCCTACATCAAGCAGTGATATGAAATAATCTTTCACGCTGGATAATTCGAAGCGACTTACTTTTTATTAGAACATTCCCCTTTGCAACTTGTGCATCCCAGGTAGCACGGTAATATGTTCCTACGGCAGGAACAACGTTTTGTGTCGCATCCAGACTTGCAGCCACATTTATCTAGAGCCCTGCAAGCCGACCAGATCTCGGGAAGCTCACTCCAAAGCGGAACCCAGGTATCTCCTTCTTTTTTCCATCCCCACCCTTCAGGGGATGGTGGTAATGAATTTTCAAGGGCCCTTCCCCAGATATGTCCACTCTGGAAGGCAGCTCTCTTCATATGTTGAACGAAAGCTTCCAGGGAAGGCGGAATTGCACCAATATGTTTGTTTTCTGTGGCAAACATGTGCTTCCGAGCCTCATTCACACCGGAGCAGGTCTCGTCACGGATCCCGTACATGTATACCGTGAATCTCTCCAACGTCTTGATGAGATCATCGTCTATGGTATCTTCTAGCATTGGATGTGAGAGCTTCTTGAATGCTAATATAATGTCTTCGCGTCTGTGAATGGAATGGAGCGTTTCTTATATAACAGATGAATACATATCAATAGATCACCCAGGAAATATACTTACTTCGAGCAATTCAAGAAAGCATTCCATGCTGACTGTTTCCCTCTCGAACCGAAAAAGGATACCGTGTCACATACAGTGAAGGCGTGGAACTCTCTGAGTGCGATAGAAGTGTCCTCCCCAAGAACACCAGCGATACCATGCACACTAATGAACCTTCGTTTGAGGCCTGCTCCAAAGTGTAACCACAATTCTCGCAAGCCCTTTCTGTGGAGGGCATGGTAATGAGAAACTGCCAGTACCAAAACGTCTGTATCCGAGCTTCGTATAACTATACAACGGATACCATTCTCCACCATATCATTCACATGAAGCATCAACCTTCCATCTGCTTCTTCCATCGCAGCGCACGAAACACCCTGCAGATACGACTGTGTACCCTCAGATGAGCGTATAACATCATCGACATTAGTTACGACTTCCACATCCTTGAGTTCCTTCAAGATCTCGTTGGCAAGAAATGAGAACAACTCTTGCTTATTGTGATCGTTTCTCAAATAGTCATCCCAGTTAGTCGGTAGAGTACCTGTGAAAACATGTGCTATAGTGGAATTAGACACGGGCACACAAGAGATGAAGAGATATTCAGTATTTTTATAGTTTACCTTTGTTTGGTAGATCCTTACGCCTCACTCCTGTTCCCCTGCTTGACCGAGTGGCCTCTTTAAGACTCGAGCAAGAGTACAGATCCCATGCTATATCCACTCTGAATATTTCCATCTGTGTTCGAGTGTACCCTATATTTGAAATCAGCTGGCCTACGTAGCTCTTGAAGGTTTTCACATCAGGACGAGGCTTGATATTGTGAACTAAGACTGCTCCATCTATGATCAATCCTTCACATCTGTGAGGTGGGTCTACTTCAGGCAACTTCTTGAGCAGATTTTCAAGAATTGCTACGAGCTGAGATTTATTTCCAGTCCGCATAGATCCATTCAACGATAAAGATGGCGGATACAGTTGATTCTCATGCTGGAAAAATATATCAAGGTCCAATTCTCGTGAAATGCACACAATAAAGAGCCGTGAGTACAGTTGCACATCCGATTTCAGAGCTTTCATTGGAGAAGTTGCTGTTTTTTTCTGATGTGTGAATATTTTAGTCATACACTTTCGAATTGGATCATGAAGAGATCTCGACTTCTTGACCAGTCTCTCGTCGACAAAGGACTTGTACATGGATTCGCTCTTTTCCACAGCATCGTACAAGGTCTGAACCGCATCAGTGCCTACAACAACGCTGGAGTCTATGGCGACAAGTTCTGTTCCCTGAACAGAAAAGGGATTCTCGTACGTCAAGAAAGCGTCCTTGAGTGCTGCAAAATGATCGGCAAATCTTGATTGATAAGATTTTGTCTGTTCATGATGAGTCCTCGAGATTGGAACTTCGTCATCGTCAGCATCTTCTGAATGGTTGAATTCATTCAGAAGTCGGCAGATCTCTGGTCCTCCGATGGTCCAACGTCTCAATGCAGATGGGTCACTAGTGAGACCGACCGCACCACCATTCCCTTTCACTTTGGCATTATTTTGCTCATGGGCATGATCGATAGCAAGATAAGAATCAGGGTTTTCAGTTATGGGCAACACGAACTTTTCTACGACAGAGAAGAGATATTCCAGACAAATTCGATCATACTTGATATAGGTAATGAATTATCACGATATATTGAGACAATACTTACTCAATAAAAATTCTTTATGAATATCAGGGGCTTTGCTGGGTAGCTCTTCCAAGTCCTGGATGTGAACAGTGAGATACCGAGCGTAGTTTTGATGGTCAAAAAGAAAATACCACGGAGCCATTTGTTTCAGAGTTTCTCTAAATAAATCAAAGTCACCCCGCCTCAACGATCGCACAAAACATAGGAGGAGAATTTCAAGGTTCAAGACAGTGAGCCAGAAGTAAAATGTTGGACATTTCTGAGATTTCGTCTTTATCCACTCTTCCACCTGTAGTTCACATTCGGGGTTTTCATTTTCATATATATCCATGAGCAAACTGTGGAGAACTGCTGCAGTGATCTGATGAACTTCCCTTGCCCGTTTAATGTGAGTTACCTGGAACGCACAAATGCAAGGATAGATCAGTACCGAGATTGTTGCTTCATCGTGCACCCTACCTTCATCATAGCTTCTGCTGATCCAGCAGTGGTTATTCCGGCATGTGAAACTATAGTTGTTGTCCAACCAGAGCCCTCCATAAATTGACCCAATATTCGAAGAAACCACTGTTCAATGTGTAAGGGGCCTAGGAGCACTATAAACTTATCTTCACCATATTCCTGAGGCCAACTCCACTGAATTTTTTTCATGAGGGCATAGAGAAGCTGGTCCACGCAGATTACAGGTATTTGATCTCCATTCAGATACTTCGTTATATTCCTCACAATGTTCATTCCATGCCTCAGCATTGGAATTGATGTGGATTTTTCGAAAAATAGGGGTAGGAGGACATTGATAGCTTTCAACAGCGATCGATCAGATGAACGACTTCCATGATAAGCCGACCAGGCAACAGTGATGGCCTCGTGCAAATTGCCACTTTGTTCCCGAAGATGTGTCAACCATTCTGCCTCTTGTACCCACTGTCTTGAAAAATCACCTGAAAGCAATCGAAACTATTTTGTTGCTTATAATCAACTGAAGTTAAACACAATTGAACAAAATTGAGAAGAAATCTGAACTTACCTAAAGGATACAAACGAGAACCTATCTCAAAACTGCATCCAAGAGCAGGGGGGTTGTTCTGCGGGAGAGTGCAATCGGGAATCTCAGCATAGAAATCTGGTAACTCTGGCACTCCACGGTCTCCTTTTTTACTAACATCCTTGTAGGATGTAGCGAATGTCCTGATTTCTCCTTGAGATTCTCCCCGACGACGACATTGAAAAATGGAGATACCAGTGCCATGAAAGTCGCCTGCACTTGTATTGCTCGTAGATTTGAAATCTATGTTGTCTAATGCCGCAATTGTAAACAGGCCTTTCCTCAGAATAGAAGGACAAACAACATTATCTTCCCTTGATCTTTGTACCACCATTCTACACAACTGCGCTGTCACTTCCATCACTCTGTTCGACGAGGCACTAATTCCTTTTCGGTGCATCTGGTCGATCGAGGTTCGATCTCTGTTTCTACCGTAGCAAGATAGTGCCATGTACAGCGTCAATGGAGGTTCTCTGTCTCTTTTCTGTCTAACAATTTCACCTCGTGGCATGCTTTCATGAAAATTCGCTAAAATTAGCTGTGAAATCGTGAGAGCAGGGGCGGTCGCCCCACACTCAGCTCTGACCCCAGAACCGTACAACAAAGTACTGACAGCGGCCAGAAGTGGTCCTGGAACACTTTTCTCCCCACAATTTCGTGCAAAGCTTCCATCAAATTCCGACTTGCACTGAGACATAACTCTCCTGAGATTTTTTGCAAACCTCTGAAATCCAATTGCATCATCGTCTTGATCTTCTTTTGAGAAGTTGTGCATCAGATTTGTCCCTTCCATCATGAGAACATATTCCCTTCCCCACTTCTCTTCTTTCAAGAAGGGCATGTGAGCTAGTATTCTCTCTCTGAGGCGTGTCGTATGTTCTCCTGAAATATCGTCCCTAGATACTCCATTCAGTTGTGCAATTCTCGAATCATACATGTTTTTTAAATCTCCCATTTTGAAAACATATGTGTACTCATGCCTCGAAAGTTTTCCTTCTATAAAAACCAAAAGTTCAGAGAATGCGAGACCCTCACATAGAAGTGTCTCTTCTTCTGAGGGACTTGTACACTTAGCTCGGCAGTATTTACTGTAGAGACGAGTCAGACAAATTTTGTGATACTTTCCCTCCTGAGCGACTAAATCTCCTCTGGTTTCCAGTAGAGCTATCAGTTCTGTATTTCCTGTACCTTTCGCATACTTCATAATATTTTCATCTAAATGATGAGTCTCACAGCGATGGAGTGATTGCTGTTCATTTTCTGGCTCTCCACAAATGAAGCATGATTCAGCCATGAGGGTAACAGCAGCAAAACTAGATCGAGTCGTGCGACGAACTTCCTCGGCATCAACATGTATATCATTATTTGAGGACTCATTTTGATCTACCTGTGCCATAACATTCTTCAGCAGAGAACTGAACTTAGCAGTCAATGGTAGATAGAATACATGCTTTGTGATACTTTGCTTTTCGTGCTATGAAAGTAGCCAACACTCCATTACCCTCATCAAGTACGTTAATACTCCGTCCACATTTGAGTTTGAAATGACTATAGGATCTCAGCTGCTCAAGATTACTTGCAAGTGTCTGGTACCCCTTGTTTCGTTTAGCCTCCACTGGATTATTAGCAGCACACACAAGTTTGCCTTCACCCTGACAGATACAGCAAGCGTTCCAGTTAAAGTTTGGTTCTGACACATTCACCAGATCGTCTGTTACTGCTATTACAATATGTTTGTTTTTCGGCATTCTTAAAGCACTCTGTCCAAATATATAACTAACAGGAAGAAAATGAAGTTAACTACCAAGAGCCTGGACATTTTAAGCAAAAATAAAAGGAATATGGTAGGTACCTACTCACCGAAAATTGAAAAACTACTGCAACGAATTCACACCACACAACCTAGGCCAAATCATACACTTTTTTTCTCTATCCACACACGCTTTGCTGTTGACTGCAGCAGACTATTCGAGACATATTTCCAGGAAATTGCAGACACAAGCGAGAGAGACGATAGGGGAAAACAAGAGGGGATGTGAGCCAGAGGTTAGGTACTAGATTCCAGCTCGTCTGTGGCGCGCTTATTCAAATTAGCAGTATAATTTTCCTACAATCGATCCATGTATTGACCAAACTATTACTTGTCCATAAAATGCAATGACTTTGTGATTGTTTTATGTTATTCATTTTCTACATAGTAGTATCCGAAGTTATTGTGATTATTCAACTGTTATTTTGCTCATTTTTTTCATACCACGTGATAAATTTCATATATATTTGCACGTCAACAATGTTTTTGATTATTCTTTTCTTATATTTGTCAATTTTTTCATGAATCATTTATCTTAATATGTTTCATTATACTTTTTTTCTGGCAGTCATATTACAAAATGGAGGCTATTTTAGTAGAAAACTCCACTTCAATAGCGCCTATATAGATTCATAATGTGATTTTGAAAATACTCGCACACCTTTCAAACCGCATTTCATGAAAATCTTGGGAGTGACCTTGGGATAATTTTTTGGTAAATTCTTACACAGAGACCCCTGAAATATGTAAATCCATACCTCACTCGGCTCGAATTATGCAAGCTTCTCAATGGTACCATACCAGGCGCCATTTTCCAAAATGGTAGCTTTTTGAGACACTTCCAGTGAACCGAGAGCTGAAAGGGTGCCACCATTATATTCTTCAAGACAATTTAATATGGAATCTACATCTGGATCATCTTTATAGCTTCATTTTGATTTTTTTCAAATCATCGTGGAATGAACCCCCCCTACCCCCTGAAAATCGAACCCACACACCCAAAAAAATGGGTGCTGCGGGGCAAATCGTTCATTTGGGTATCAAGAACAAGTGTGCAAAAAATTTTGCTTTCTATACGAAATGCGGTTTTTTTCTGATATTTTCGGTGTACCGCTAGCACTATTTAGGAACTCCCATTGTAACTCCAAGAGGATCAGATTCATAGAATCCAACAAGACTATCTGCCGGTTCTGCAAATGAGATGCGCCCCCTGACATCCCCCCTAGAGTCATCCTCTATCATCCCCCCTAGAGTCATCCTCTATCATCCCCGGCCCCCGGCACTAGTAGTAGGTGCCAGATTCGAGCTTAGTGACCCCGAAACCTCCCTGAGAGCCCTTGGCACTCGATCATCCTGGAATTTCCAGTTTCAACTTTTTAATATTAGAAAAACTGAAAAAAATAGACTCCCTATAGCAAAATCGACGTATGCTCACAATACATTCGTATGCAAACGCTATTTTCTTATTCAGTATAACTGAATCTATCACCTGATTGAATGGCATACAAAATTATATAATCTTGATATATATAATCGATGATGTAAAGTGACCTTCGAATAAGTCTAAATTCGCCCACCCAAACTGTATGCAAATGTTATGGCATTGATTCATGGGTCGAAATGAAGGAATTAACCAAAGGGCATACCATCGTAAATAATCTAAGAGAAATGTCGGTTAACGGTAACTTGCGGTCCGTATGCCGCCCTTCGGGACCGACCTAGACGTATGCAAATCGGCTAGCGCCCGGTTAATTTGGCGAGATGCGACTATTCCAATGAATTTTAAAGCTTCTTCTATAAAACAATTTTCAACATTACTTTCAACAGGAAGTTGATTGATTAGGGAGATGGGCGACCGGGTACCGATCCAACTAACCACTTTTTTCCCGATAATCCAACTCAATCTTCATGTCTCTTGAAGGGCATACCTTCGTAGATAATCGACACCCCTAGTGTTATGGGCCAACGGTCTAAAACATACCTACCTCATTTCTATATAGCCAGGTTTCTACCAACACCAATATATCACATCTTTTTAGTTTTACCAAACACTGTAGTTCATCCAATTTGTTCCTGACACTCCGTATATTAATATATATTATTTTCAATGATGGTTGTTTGTTTGATTCTTCTTTTCTCTGGAGTTTTTTAAATCAATAGAGTCTTCAATAACTTCAATTTTGCTGGTTTCATCCTTACGTAGGTGTATTTTTCCATTCTTTATCCAGATAAATTTATAATTATTCTCCTTACGGTACTGTAGAACTTCTTTAAAGAGATATTGGTTTGCTCTTGTTAGATCATGATTTATATAAATCTTGTTTATTTCTTCGTATCCCATGTCCTTGGAGGTTATTTTGTTCTGTTTTCCAGCCTTCATAAATACGTCTTTCTCATTTACATCACTGAAACATATCTTTTTAGGCATCTGTTCATTGTTGCTACGCTTATTTCCAATTCGATATTATGATATATACGTATATGTACGATACACGATAACGATTCAGTCCAGTATTTTCCATAGTTTTACCAGACAGAAAAGTAGTATGCCAATGCAATTTATACCAAAGTGAAGAGAAACAAGTGTGCTTCAAAGGAGAACAAGTAACACATCAAAAATAAGTGCATTTAAAAGTGTATTTAGTAAAATAACATACCACTGCACCAAGTGAGTGTTAATAAGAAAAAACTCGTTCTTATCGCAACAAACGGAAAAAATCTGTGAAGAAGTGGACCTGATAAATCCGACAAACTGAAATACCAGTGGCGTAGCTGATTTATCGGGAACTATGAAATATGGATGAACTCGAATGTATAAAATGCAAAATAAAAACATCTTTGAAGGATCAAAAAAACCCGACATTTCCATGCGATTCATGCAGGAATTACTACTGTGGAGATTGCTCAGGATTGTCAACCTCTGAAGTTAGATGCATGCCACTACGAAAGCGGCTACTCAAATTTCACTGTGAAAAATGCAGACAGTATGAATTCATAGACTACCTAAAAAATACAATAACAGACAAAGAAAACATTATACAAGATAAAAACACTATAATTCAAATGCTACAGGACAGAATAGATAATTTAGAAAAAACACAACTCTCATATGCAGCTGCAGCAGCGAAACCAATATCTCAACCATCCGGTCCGGCACTGAGAAAAAATATACCAGCAATTATTATAAAACCAAAAAACCAACAGAATTCACAAATAACTAAAGAAGACGTCCAAAATGCAATAAATCCTGAAAGAATGAGTGTACCAATAAATTCCGTTAACACCTTGAAAGATGGAAAATTAATTATAAAATGTGCTACAGAAGAAGGAACCCAAATGCTAGTCACAGAAGCAGAGAAGAAGCTAAACAAGAAATACAAAGTAGAACTATCGAAGATGAAAAGACCAAGAATAAAAATAATAGGAAACAACATCGAAATGACTGAAGAAGAAATAGAAGTATGTTTAAGAGAGCAGAATTCATTTATAACAGAAGCTGACTATACAGGGTGTTTCGAAATTCGACCGACAACGCTTGACAGGTGATAGCCCTCGTGATTTCATAATCACTGAGATAGGGACAGACGGTCTTGAAGTGTTCAGTTCTCGAGATACAGGGCGTTGAAGTTAAGAAATTTAAATAGTTTTTTCGCAATATCTCAAGAATAATTTAATATAATGCATTCAAATTCGGTATATGGTTTCATCTTTCACTGATTAATTTCTTGACCAGAAAGACATTCCGAGAATTTTATCCAGAGATGCGCTACAGAGGGTTGTGATAACTTTTCCTCCCATATTTTCTACGCCACTGATGAAATTTCAATTATTTCCAATTTCTCGAATTGTTTGTTCAGTTATGTTGAAAAAATGCATCACCTTCAACTGAGCTAAAATGAACAGTTATCGGGATATTTGACCCAAAATAGAAGTATGCATAGTAATTTTTCATCTTCCTCGGTAGTAAAAAATTACGAAAATTTTTGTTTTCTCTTCATGTGTGGAATAACTATTTCTGTTCAGCTATGGAATGAGATCTGAATAGTATCTAATCTACTCAACACCAGAAAAATATTTTTGCAATTTTCTACTACTGAAAATATTACTATGCAATCTTCTATTTTGGGTCGAATATCTCGAAAACTGTTTATTTCAGCTCAGTTGAAGGTGATGCATTTTCTGAACAAAATTGAACAATGAATTCGAGGAATTGGAAATAAATCGAAATTCAATCAGTGGCGTAGAAAATATGGAAGGAAAAAATGCCACAACCCCCTGTAGGGCACCACTGGACAAAATGTCCGGAATGGCTTCCAGGTCAAAAAATGGCCCATTCAAAGATGAAACCATATACCGAAGTTGAATGCATTATATTCAATTATTCTTGAGATATTGCGAAACAACTATTTTCATTTCTCAACTTCAACGCCCTGTATCTCGAGAACTGAACACTTGAAGACCGAATGTTCCTATCTCAATGATTATGAAATCACGAGGGCTATCACCTGTCAAACGTTGTCGGTCGAATTTCGAAACACCCTGTATAAAGGTAACTTATATAAGAAGAAGCCGACTAGGAAAACAAATAATATTCGCCGAATGCTCCGGTAATTTATTTGCCAAGATGATGGACAATAGAAAAGTCTTCTTAGGCTGGGAACGCA